GATTAGATATCATTCTTACCAGCTTTTTTCAAGCTGGCGCCCCATCCTCCATTTCATACTCATTAATCCTTAAAAAGTTCACTACACTTTCGTATTACACACAATGAAAATCCCCTTCAAATAGAAAACTTTAATCCTGCAGTTAGCAGGTAGGATAAGGGCCACAATGATTTTATATTTCCCACTTAACAACGCGATTTACAGGACAGTGGACTATCGACCAATCCCGTCCACTGTCGGTAGCAAACCGAATATTCATACACCTTTTCGAAAAAAAAAAACTACAGAATAAAAATTATTATATAATCATTTGCTTTTTTGGGCCTTATGCCATATTTTCTTTGTTCAATTTTATTTATTTTATATAATTTTGTGATTGTAATGCTAGTAAAATGACCACAAATCGTCATCTGTTTCCTTTTAGAGGGCTCATGATGATTAAACCTAAGAAATGTTGATCCAGCAAACGCATTGTTTTTCTGCAAGCCATTGGTCAAAAACTCAATTTCTGTAACATGAAGGAAAATCTTGACAAATAAAAGACGAAACGAGGCCCTGCGTTAACTGTAATAAGCCGTCGCAAGTAATGACGTTACTGCCTTGAGACAACATTAAAGGCGCATTCGCCATCCCTACAAGATACATATATACAGCAGCAGTTAAGCGCATTCGCCAGGCAATCAGTATTAATGTCCAAGTAGGCGCGCGGTGTCATCAAACAATAAAAAAATGCTTGCAAAAACTGATGTCACTTAAAACAAAGATCTACAGGGCGATGAGTTGCAGAACCGAACTGCGGCAGATTGCTGTATACTCATTTATTTTTCTTGACCTCGCATCACAGGTTTAAAGTTGAGCGTGGCGGCGGCTCCGTAAAAAAATCATAATTCGATCAAACCATAGCATAAGCTGATAAAAAAGTAACTTAATTGCAGCAGCACGTGAATTTTATCACTTCGTATACACAAATATGCAATTTAAAGGCAAATATTACAGAGCCTTTCGACCTTGTAGCGACAATATGAAGGTGATTGTCTGATAATAGATAAATAGAGCAAGTCTGCTGTTTCCGTCTAGCAAGAACTTCCAATCAATCGTGCCTGGCAGGCTGTGAACCTAGCAATATAAGTACAGCTGATAATTAGCAAAATATTCAAATTTATTTACCGGGTTAACAACGGTTCAAGCCGGCATAGAGGCGACGTTCAGCCCTCTCTTCCGAGAAATCAATAATTCAATGTTGACTCAAAACCAAGCCAATATTTAATTAAATTTTTTAAAATTAAATGATTTCATTTAAAACCACAAAGTACGTTACGACGACATCGATTCTTGAGTGCTTTATTGCGTGATCGTGTGTCCTTTTCCATTGTTCAAATAATCTCGCACAATAATCGCATTTGAACAAGACTTTTAGTCGTAAAGATAACACAATAATTGATTGCAGAGACTTTTGAGAAACACTTCATGCGATTAGTGTCTATCATACCAATTGCAAAATCCCCAAAGAGCAGCCTCATCACAGAAAACCACTAGAAACCATCCGTTATTTTCACATAAACCTAAAACATTGTAATTGCGGTTTTCACATTCCGTGACTTTTGAAAGTAGTGCAAAAAGGTTCATCTTCAATGGTTTTAAGCTGCGGTTAGCAAGCAGTGAATTGGACATGGGAGTGGAGGAGAGACCAAGAGCCACTCCTGATGAAACTGGCATCAGCAGTTGCTACAACTCAACGTGAGTCAAGTCGCTTTAGTCACCTCGTTGCATTCACTCAAAAACATTGTAGATCAACACTCATCAGGAACCCTGATGGCTCCCTAACAGTGGAACTCAGGAAAGAAGTGAAAACCTCCGTTGAGTACAACCCGTACGAGCACCGAAATGTGCAACACCCCAACGGGTAAGCATTCCCCTCACTTAAAAATTAAGCGCTTTCAATGCAAAAGTCGTTAGATTTGCGGGCGCTTTTCTCCACATCGTTAAAACTTCCCTTGGCACCGGCGTTTTGGCCATCCCGCGCGCCTTTAAGAGTGCAGGGCTTTTAGTGGGACTGTTTGGTTGCATTTTGGTGGGAACGATTTGCGCCCACACCATTCACATCCTGGTAAGCAGCCAAAATACCTACCGCCTACATTGAAGCCTTTTTCAAACTGCAGGTGAGGTCTTCTCAGAAGATTTGCAAAAAAACGAGAACGCCCAGCCTGGGGTTTGCCGATACTGCCGAAGGCTGTTTCAAATTGGGGCCCACATGGCTCAGAAGATACTCTTCAGCTGCAAAGTGAGCGCCCCTTTCCACAATAGAACAGGCAAGCAGTTGGTCTGTATTATTTCAGGATCTTCGTCGAAGCAGGGCTGTTTTGCGTTCATTTCTTAGCCGACTCTGTCTACTTGGTTTTCATTTCCATTAGCATTAACAAGGTAAGTTTGGTAAGGTGACTAGATGCTCAGAAACGAACCGTGGGGGGTTTTAGTTGGTTTCAGCTCACTATCCTGAAATCGAGTCCTGGGGCGATTATAGCATAAAGTTGATTCTGTTGGTGCCGTTACTGATTTGCGCTCAAATCAGGGAGCTGAAGCACTTGGTGCCTTTTTCCTTTATCGCCAACATAATGCTGTTGGTCAGTTTTTCAATCACTGGTTATTACATGTTCTCGGGCATCACTGAGGTGAAGCTGCAGGACCGAAGTTTGGCTACTGGACTATCAGGTAAGTGCATTCCTCTTGCTTTTGACGTGTCGATAATACGTGAAGTATTATCCGTGAAAATCTTTCAAAATTAAAGATGCAAATGCAAACCTACACCTGCTAGGGTTTTGATGATCACCCAACTTTTGGAACTTTGTCGTCGCTGTCCGCGTTCACTTCTATCTCTCCTTTTTTGTCGCAGGGGCCTGCTGAATCTCCCGATTTGACCCCACGTGACTTTTTTCTGTGGCATCATATTAGTTAAACAAAGTTAATGTTTTCACTGTGTATAACCGGCAAAATGTAGCTTATAAGCCTGTCGGTCACCAAACAATTTAACAATTTGGGCCTACTATGTGGCTGTTATTCTCGTTCTACGAATTCTATTAAACATCGAGACCGAAATCATTGGAAAATATTATAAAATAATTAATCGACAATTGATTGTTCAAAACAAACCGTTATTAAAAGTATATGTTCTGTATGTTTCAAGAAGCCAAATTTAGAAAAATTAAGAAGGGAAACCGAAACTGCTGCGCCGAGCAAACCACTTATAAAGATTAGAAAAATAAGAGATGAAAACATTATTTTCTCCGATCACCTAAAAGCCCGAAAAACTCGCCAGTTTCAAGCAAAATGCGAAATCCCAAATCCAGTGAGTACTTTTTCTGAAGCTCACAAATCTGCATTTTGGAATTTATCATCCAGTTTGGAATTTATTTGGCAGAATCTACATGAACTGGTATGTTTTCAATGTTTTTCCTAGGATTGATTAGAATGGACTTGAAATAGTTGAATCTTCCGTTAGGTTTCAAGCTTTTTTAGAGTAAATCTTCAGTTGACTCTGTGGATAAATTATATTTAATGCAGGTTCCTGATTTAATAGTTTCTATAGCTGTAGAAGCTGTGTAGCTTGATTATGTATATCAAATTGGTGGCTGCCTCAAATCACTTTTCCGCTGCCTACGTCTACCTAAGTCTACGTTTCAACTGTCCAAAAAATGCCAAAATTTGCAGTTTGTCCTGAAAATTAAACAATCGCCTCTACCTCGCATACTGTTCATTTTCAAGGAAAAATGAATACCGCCTTTCTTATGCTTTTCCAGCTACTCTATCCAGTGTCGCGCTCCGAAATTGGTTGTCGCCTGTGGTTGTCGAGATATCAAAGATTTTATGCCATAATTTTTATGGAAAATTCTCGAAAATTATTTATGCGAGGGTGTTGACAAAAATATCACATGGCAGCTTTTCCAAGCGGGAATATTTTATTGAGAGCGACGTTTTTTGATTTAGGGCGTCGTTTGGAAGAAAACAACTAAAACTTCGCAGTCGACCAGAAATTCAAGAGTCTTAATCACTATATAACGACATTTTACGGCAATAAATCTTTTTGAGACATTTCGCCTTTCCGGTACTTTGCATGTGACACGTCCCGCACACAAAAGCTGCACTTATTGAGAATCAACTTTCAGATCTAACGGAAGAAAACTAAAACTGCCGAAGAAAAGTGCGTTTTTTCAGGACCCCATAAAGCACGCACCACAGCATGCCACTGGGCGAAACTCACAAAACAGTGTTGTCAGATATAGTCGTGCTAAATTGTTCGTTGTCAGTGCTGAGGGGCTCGGCACAATTTCGTAGTCAAACATGGTTTAATTAATAAAAGCCAACCGAAAAACTTGAAATAAAAAATCGTCAGCAGCTAGTTTATTATTCACTTTATCCAAAAAACAAGTTTTTGTGAGGGCTTTTTTTGTAAGTTTTCGGAAAAAAAATTATATTATCTACAATTAAATGGTTTGGTGAGTATAAAAAGCAAGTATTTGTTTTTTGGTAAATAATAAATGAGACACTGCAACATGATCACATCATTGTCACTTTTCGTGGATTAATCACTGGTTAAGTAGGAAAAGTAACGAAAGCTGGCAACACTGTTTTGTGAAACAAGCGCGCCCGCTTAAAATTAGATAAAAATTATCAAAAGAGCAGGGATTTTGCGGCCATTGTTTGAAACTGATGGGATTTTCGAGCTCTTCTGGCCGATAAACCAAACAATTTATCGTTAATGCAACGGCCTGACTAAAACATTGCAAAAATACACATCGCAGATTTAAAAAAAGCAAAAACTTCGCCAAGAGCGTTTCAGAAAATACCACGAATAAACCAGAAAAGATAGAGCGCCGTCTTTAAAACCATAAATAGAGAAAACATTAGTCTATAACTCATTAAAGTTTGATTTTTTTGACAATTTTGACAAAATGTTGACAATTTTTCAAAACAGACTTTGTCAGGAGAGGTTTGAAATCGAGAAAATCTGCAAAGCATATTTAAAAATTGACTTATGAAGAAACTGGCAGCGCTAGAGCGCTGTTTTTCACACTTTTAAATAGAGAAAACTTTACTCTATAACTGCTCAATTTTTATTTTTTTGGCGGTTTTCACCAAATTTTGACAAATTTTCTAATTCGTTCCTCTGCAGCGGTTTCAAACCAAAAAATTCTGTCAAGAGCGTTAAAAATATGCCACGAAGAAACCAGAAAAGATAGAGCGCTGTCTTTCTAACCTTAAATAGAGGAAATTTTAGTATATAACTCATCAAAGTTTGATTTCTTTGTCAGTTTTGACAAAATTTTCAAAACAGTATTTATCAAGAGCGGTTGGAAGGCAAGATAATTTGCAAAGCGAATTTAAAAATTGACCTATAAAGAAACTAGTAGAGATAGAGCGCCGTTTTTTCACACTCTTAAATAGAGAAAACTTTACTCTATAACTGCTAAAAGTTTTATTTTTTTGGCGGTTTTTACCAAATTGTGACAATTTTTCAAAATCCTACCCGCCCAGAGCGGTTTCAAGGCAAGAAAATCTGCCAAAAGAGTTGAAAAAAAATGCCACTAAGAAATCAGAAAAAAATAGAGCGCCGTCTTTTCAAACTTAAATAGAGAAAACACTAGTCTGTAACTCGTCAAAGTTTGATTTCTTTGAAAGTTTTGACAAAATTTTTAAGTTTTTAAAATCGGAAATTGACTTATAAAGAAACTATTAAAGATAGAGCGCCGTTTTTCACACTTATAAATATAGAAAATTTCACTCTATAACTGTTCAAAGTTTGATTTTTTCGGCGGTTTTCTCCAAATTTTAACAAATTTTCAAAATCTTACCCGTCCTGAGTGGTTTCGAAGAAAGAAAATCTGCCAAGAGCGTTTAAAAAAAATGCCACGAAGAAACCAGAAAAGATAGAGTGCTGTCTTTTCACTCGAGAAAACTCTAAACTATAACTCCTCAAAGTTTGATTTCTATGAAGAAACTAGTAGATATAGAGGGCCGTTTTTCACCTTTCGGATATTGCCCGATACGATGTAATCTGGTGTTTCAGTCGTTTGTTTATTAGAAATGCTACTCCCGTCACTCTAATTTATTGTGGTATTATTCTGGTATAACACATGTCCGTATTGTAATATTGTTGTACCTACAACGTCCTATTTTATGTGTGTAAGCTCTTCCTCGAGCTCCTCTAAATGTTCTTGTGTTCTCAGAGTTCGTATGTTATATGTGCTTCGATGTTTGCCTTCAATCGAATCTTTGCCCCTCCCGGAATCCATGGGGCAGACTAGTGAGAGATTCTGAATATTTCATTCTACTCTGCGGGGATATCTTTAATTTAGGATTCGACATAATATGCATTGGTTTTGAAGAAGGTGTGTGGCAATTTAAACACCTCGCTTGCCAAGCGGGTTGGTGAATTGATAAAGATATGGGAAGGATGAAGTAGATATTGGGTCGGGTTACCTGGTTAGGACATGATTTCTCCTGGTGTTAGAAAGTGGGGGAAGACCAAGGCTCCCCCGCTACTAGAGGAGTGTCCACCCGCTACTCAATTAATATCTTTAGGGGCGCGATTGTTTTATGAAGAGCAAGGTTTTTTTAATTTAGGCAGTCTTTTGGGAGAAAAATTGAAATTTGAGAATCGTGCAGAAATCCAAGAGTATTAAGAATTATACCAATCTTCTTGGCAAAATATATTTTTTGAAACCTATTGCCTTTGGCAGGATGTTGCATGTGGCGACTTTCAATCTCCAAAAACCTCCACTGATTCAGAAAACCCACTTCAGTTCAATGGGAAGGAAGAAACCCAGAACACTCTTAAGAGCGATTTTTCAGTGTCCCAAAAAACAGGCACGCCACTGGTCGACGCTCACAAACTGCGTGTTGTAAGTGGTTGTTCGCTGTAAGTGTTGTGGGTAAAGGGCTCGGCACAATTTGCTAATTAAGCCGTGTTTAATGAATAAAAGTGACAAAGAAGTGATCGAAATCAAAGATCGCCAAAAACTCTGCTGATTCAAAACAAAAACCTGTTTAGTTGTATGGAAGAAAACAAGGACCCATAAAGGTACGGGATTTGGGCGCACTAAAAAAAAAGAAAACGACACTGATCTGTTGATCCAAACCCCAAAAACAGTGTTGCCTGCTTTAGTTGCACTTAGTTGTTCATTGTCAGTGCCGTCCGTGAAGGGCTTGCTAATTAAACAGTGCTTAATGAACAGGAATGACTAGAAAAGTGAAAATCAGAATTTTTAAGCGCACTAACCCTCCTACACAGTGGCGGGCGCGAGATTCACCAGTCGTTGAAAGTTTTGAAGATATAATTTTTATTCCAAAACCACTTAAATGGAATTTCCCTAAAATGTCCTTTGGGAGAAAAAAATCTATAATTTTTTGGAAATATTTGGCCGTGACAGCATTTTGCAACTTTAAAAAATTCAATATCAGAAAAACTTCTCTGATAATATACAGGGCAATTCAAAATTGACGTAATTCCTTTTGAGGTGTTGTCTGGCGGTGTTTTAGGAGTACAGAAAAAATAGTGAAACAATTAATTTTTATTAGAAACTGAGAAATTTCCAAAAAACTATATTAGAAAAACGGTAACAATGTTTTTCAAGGTAATCTGCCTAACTGACATTACGTAAATCGTTGTTGCTTCGTAATTATTTAAAACTCCGGTAACCATGGATAAATACAGAAAGTGACAATAAGATATACATGGATAAACGGTAAATTCAACAGGAATCGTTGAATGACGGAACTTATTTCGAAACTCATAACCTCGAATTATGAATTTGTTTACAAATTACAAAAACATACATGTGAGTCTGTAACTCGAAACAAGTGCCTGTGTAATCATCTTATTGTGCACTCTTCTCGAGCAGCTGCTCGTATTCGGTTAAATAACCCCTGCTCAATTTATACCGGTCTTCAGTAATCCATTGGTTTAATGTGATCTTACATACGTGGTAGGAATATAGCCAGTACTTACTTGGTGCCTGGGAAAGTGCCAGTAGTTGTGCAATGTTCTGAGTGTCCTGAAAGGCTCTTTTTCAATTATGTCCAATAATCAATTGTCGTCCACTACCTTTCTGGAATCACTCTATTCGCTCTTTGTTGGCGCGAGTTCTTTCAGCTTCTGCTATGTTACTGTAGCATTTCCCTTGAACCAATCGCATATTCGTAAATTCGTGAAAGGAAATTCAAAGTAAGTCACAGTTTGACAAATTATTGCTATCATTTACAAGGGCTATCCACCTGTAACTATCTGTTGATGACAAAAAACATCTTTGCCACGTTGAATTTTTATCAAAAAATTGTAGAAGAGAACCTTTTTAATATAAACAATTTTCGAACTTTGAGGCAAAGATCGTAATTTTTCCTTTTGAATGCTTAACTATTCGAATATGCTACCAATTAAACATGGAACACTTTCAAAATAATGCTTAATAACAAAGTTGAAATTCGATTTTCAACTGTTAATATCTTATCGAAATTATCGAAAAAATTTTCTATATTTTGCTCGTGTCAAGTGAGACCCCATCACCCCTTAAAAGGAATGACGCCAATTTTGAATCACGCGGCATATATAAAACATCCTTAGTTCCTGGAAAGAACACGACAGCCTTGAGAGTGCAGGATTTAAGCGAGTCAGAAAACGGGCACGCCATTGGTTCGTTTCACAAAACAGTGTTGCCAGCTTTTCTTTCATTTCGTAATTAACCAGTGTGTAATCCACGGAAAGCTACCAAGATGTGATCATGTGGCAGTGGCCCTTTTATTATTCACAAAAAATTTGTGAATCACACAAAAAATCACTAAACCCCTCTATTAAACTACGTCCACAGATTTTGGCGATTTTAAAGATTTTGAATGTATGAATTTTTTTCGAGAGCAACTTTAATGGATTTTTTTCAAAAAACCCTCAAATGAAGGCATTAAAAAATTAATACTAATAATTTTTCAGAATATTTTATAAAAAGCAATTTTTTGATTTGAGGCTACGTTTGGGCGCACAAAATTTAGCATGACAATCGCGTAGAAATCCAAGACACTTAAATCACTCATTTGCGCGGGCAAAAGAAACATTTTTAATGATTTTTCCTTAAGAAGGAGTTGGATGGGGATGCGTTTTATTCAAGAAAACCTCCTGCTATTCAAGAAATAATCCTCCTCAGCTCCATGGGCAAAGCACGTAAAAACCCTTAGATGCGGGGTCGTGAAATACTCCCCCTAAAAACGCAACTGGTTAGGACTCGTAAGAAAAAAATTAAAATTCAAGGCGAAACAACTGCCTGATTAATTTTTCCTTGATCCGTTTTCTACCCAAACACTTTAAATTTCGTTACGGGTTTTTCAGCTTTTTCACATTTCAGGAATTCCCTCATTCCTCAGCACAGTCCTCTTCTCCATGGAGGGCATCGGCACCATAATGCCAGTGGAAAACTCCATGATTACCCCCAGATTCCTGGGATGCGCTGGGGTGCTAAACGCAGCCATGGGTGTGATAATTGTCGTGTTCACAGCCATCGGTTTCTTCGGCTACTATCGGTTTGGGGAGGAAACTGCCGCCACCATAACAGCCAATTTACCCAGCCAGGAAATGTGCGTTTTCCTCCTTGATCCAGACCTGTTTCAACTGAAGTCTTCCTCATTTTCAGCCCGGCTGAGATCGCGCAAGCCGCCATCACTTTGGCAGTGTTCTTCTCCTTCATGCTGGTCTTCTATGTGCCCGTCGACATTGTCTGGAGCCGCCTGAAGCACCACATTCCCCACTCCCGATGGAACCTCAGCCAGATCCTGTTGCGCAGCCTGCTAATTGTGATAGCCACAGGTGCGAAGTCCCGATTGTTTTCACCTAAAACTCCTGCTGTACTTCCAGGCATTGCCATTGCTGGAGGTGACAATTTGGGGCTGCTCATCGACATAGTAGGAGCGGTGTTTCTGTCCATTCTCGGCCTGTTTGTCCCCGCCTTCTTAGAGGTGATCGCCGACTGGGAGGACGGCTGGGGAACTTTCCATTGGCGACTCATCAAGGACTTCGTAATTATGGCTCTGGCCCTGTTCGGCCTGGTCTCCGGCCTGTTCTCCGCGATTAAAGACATGTAGGCCCGCACACGTTTCCTCTTTTTTCCCGATTTATTTTGTATACGCAGGAACATTTTTGCCGAATGTTTGCCATCAGCATTTACGTCAGATGAGACAATTTTGAAACACCTTCGGTTATAATTAGATTTCTATAAGTTGTGCGATAAATTTTGATGGAATGATGCAGTGGATTTGTTTGTTTGGCCACTTAGCGATTGATCCAGATCTCCAGATAGTCAGCTAAGGCACTTTTAACTGCAAATGGGTGATGGTCGGGTTCAATATCCCTAAAACCGCCTTAGGAAGGTACAATTAAAAGTTTTTTTTTAGTTTGTCTGTCTATGAGTTTACTCAACTAAGAATCTAAAGTCTATCCAAGATTGTTGGCAGTGACGCAATAATTGTCGTTTTTTTCTGTTACTTGTCCACCGAGCGAGACGGAAATTTGATGTTATTAATCGACTTGTTAAAATTAGCACAAGTACGGAAGAATGTAAAAATTATTGACTTGATTTCTGAGCGAGTGTTGGCAGTTTTTGTGAATGTTTTCAAATTATTATTTTAATTTACCGATACATTTTTCCGGAAGGACAAGAGTCCGTCAGAAAGTTCATTTTGCTCATATTTTCACCACCATTCCTCAAATCTTTTACGAGTTCCTTTCTTTACATGCCTGCATGTTCACCATCAGTAAGAAACCGGCCACACTTCACCGGTCAGAGTTATCGCAAGAAATTGCACAATTGAAGGAAATTTAAATCGAAACTGAATGAAGTGATTTATTTTCCTCATTTATTGTTTACATTATTCACATTTAATGCAATAATGTAAAAACCCATATTTAATAGAAAAAAAATTCTACACCTACATCAAGCAATACTAATGATTAATTTATGAATGATGAAAAATAGAGATACATTTTAAAACACTCCTATTTTTTCCAATTCCTCTAATAGTTTACGATTTTCCAGAATTTCGGTGTTGCAAATCTTCGATCAGATTTAGACACCTTCCTGTTAGCGGTTTCATCAAAGGTTTTTAACCTCTAGCATCTCAAAAGCAAGTTTCGAATAATTTACTCACACACCAGCTCTATCAGGATCAATAGTCACTAAAATACATCAAAAATTTCCATATTGAGCAACAACGTATTTTCTTTTTAGAACTTTTTTCCTTTAGAACACGAAATGCTTGCTGAAATTATTGGGCCATGCCAGTCCTGATCTCGAAATAATCGATAAATGTGACAACCCAGACAGGTGCCTCTGGACCAGCAGGCACAGGCCCGGCTTCAACCCCTTTTTGTCTATTTTGTTTTATTCCCTTACTTACCTTACAAAAAAAATTAACTGATGACTCACAAGAAGCATTTGGTTCCGTATTCGCTGATTTTTTAGGAGTAATGATCCAACATTCCATTGATACTGATTTATTGTCATTAATCTCTTGGAAACTTGGAAATACCGGTGAGTTAGATAACTTCTGAGAAGTTAAAGGCAAATTTTGAACAGTTTTTGACAAAATCCCTAAGAAATTATTAAAGATATCTAAATGGTCATTGCTATTAGGCAGGAAATGACAGAACTTTTATTGATATTTTAAAAACTGTTTAAATAACCGGCTAGTGAATAGGAACTTTTCCTAATATAACAATTAGGAAATAATTAGGAAATTCCACACGTTAAAAAGTAAAAAGTAACCTACATTTCAAAAGTGAAAAGGTTTTTGAGAATTTTTCCCAACCTCCACGAGCAAGTCCAGTCCAGATTTCAAAAAATTATAGTTTCCAATATAGACAAGATACACGCGGGATTGTCTTCCTGAACAGGAAAAAGGGTGGTTTGAAATGTAATCGGTGACCTTCGTCTCAATAGGCACAAGAAGAGCTTTATGAAAATTTTTAAATTCCACAGAAATATTCTGGTGGCGCAATACTCCAATACTGAGAGATACAAACTCAATTTGTTTTCTCAACATGAAGAAATATGGTTTGAATTCGATTGGTGAGTTTGGGGAAAGAACAGGTTTTTGATAATTTTTTTAATTCCACGTGGAGATTCTCGTAGCGCAGTCCAAAATTTGCCTTGTTTCCAAATCAGGAAAAATACAAGCGTGATTTTCTTCCTCAAGATGAAGAAGAATATTTTGAATGTCACTAGTGAGTTTGATCTCAATCGACAAAAAAAAGTTTTTGAGAATTTTGCTAACTTGACAGGATATTCTTGTAGCGTAGTCCGGATTAAAAAAAATTGTTTCCAAACTGGAAGAGAAAGATGTGAGATTCTTCTTTTCAACACGAAGAAAGGGGTTCTAAATGAAATCAGTGAGTTTGGTCTCAATTGGCGAAAGCAGAAGTTTTTGAGAATTTTTCAAATTCCACTTGGAGACTCTTAGACAGAAGGCAATATTTAAAAAAAAATTGTTTCCAAAGTAGAAGAGACACAAACGCGTTTTTCTTTCTCAATATCAAACAGGGTAAATTGAATCTGGTCGGTAAGTTTGGTCCCAATGGGCTGTAGCAAAAGTTTTTGAGAAGTTTTCAAACTCCACGAGCAATTAGACAGTTCGTATTTGAAAAATTTGTCGGGTTTCCATACCAGTGGAGATACAAGAGCGATTTTCTTCCCCAACATGAAGGAGGGTCCAGTGTCCTCAGTCAGTCTTGTTTCAATTGGCAAAACAAAAGATATTTGGAAATTTTGCAAACTCAACGGGATACTCTTCTAGCACAGTCCGGATTAAAAAAATGTTCTTTCCAAACTGGAAGAGAGAGGAAGATACTAGATTTTCCTTCTGAAAATGAAGAAAGATGTTTTTAAATGTGACCGGTCAGTTTGGTGTCAATCGAAACACGACGTGCTTTTTGAAAAATTATCAAACTTTATATGAAGATTCTTTAAGCACAGACCAGATTTCCAAAGTTTTTAATTTCCAAACCAGAAGAAATAGAAGCGCGATTTTAGTCCCCTAGATGAAGAAGAGTGTTCGGAATGTCATCAGTGAGTTTGCTTTCAATGGGCAAAAAAAAAGCTATTTGGGAATTTTTTAAACTCAACGGTAACTCTTGTAGCACAGTCCGGATTTAAAAACTCTTCTTTCCAAACTGGAAAAGAGAGAAAGACACTAGATTTTCTTTCTGAAAATGACGAAAGGTGTGTTTAATGTGACCGGTGAGTTTCGTGTCAGTCGTCACCCGATGCGCTTTTTAAAGAATTTTCAAACTTCACATGAAAATTATTGGGGTACAGACTAGATTTCCTAAGTTTGTCATTTCCAAACTAGAAGAAATAGAAGTGCAATTGTATTTCTCTAGATGAAGAATGGTGTTCGGAATGGGATCAGTGAGTTTGGTTTCAATCTACAGAAGAAAAACTATTTGAGGATTTTGCAAACTTGACCGGATGTTTTAGTATCGCAGTCCGGATTAAAAAATGCTGTTCTCTTCAAACAAGAAGACATAGATAAGCGATTTTCTCCGTCAACATGAAGAAAGGTATTTTGAATGTGAGCGGTGAATTTGGTTCTCATCGGCATAAGAAGAGCGATTTGACAATTTTTCAAAATTCGTATGGACATGCTTATAGCACAGACCACATTTAAAAAAAAAATTGTCGTTTCGAAACCAGAGGCAGTAGAAAGACAATTTTCTTCCTCACCGTGCAGAAAGGCGCTTGGAGTGTGACCGATAAGTTTGGACTCAATAGTCAAAAGCAAAGTTATTTGATAATTTTTGAAACGACTGGATATTTTTGTAGCGCAGTCCGTATTCGAAAATTTTGTTCTTTTCATCAAAAATAAGTAGAAGCACGCTTTTCTTCTTCAACGTTCAGAAAAGCGCTTGCAGTGTGACTGGCCAGTTTGGACTCAATCCACAAAAGAAAAGATATTTGAGAACTTTTGCAACTCTATCGGATATTTTTGTAGCGCAGTCCGGATTAAAAAATATTGTTCTTCTCAAACAAGAGGAGATAGACTCGCGATTTTCTTCGTCAACATGAAGAAAGGTGTTTTTTGAATGCCGCTGGTCAGTTTCGTATCAATCGACGAAAGATAATGCCTTTAAACATACATTTCTCCAACTTCACATAAAAATTCTTATAGCACAGGCCACATTTAAAGAAAAAAAATCGTTTGGAAACTAGAAGAAGTTGAAGCACGATTTTCTTCATCAACATGCAGAAAGGCGCTGGCAGTATGACTGGTGAGTTTGGACTCAATCGACAAAGGAAAAGGTTCTTGAAAAATTTTGCCACCTCCACGGAAGATTCCTAAAGCACAGTCCGGATTTACAAAAATGGTTATTTCCCAACTGGAAGAAGTATATCCGCAATTTTGTTCCTCAACATGACGAATGGTGTTTTGAATTTGCTTGCTGAGTTTAATCTCAATCGGCGTAAGAGAGGGTTTTTGAGAATTTTTCAAACTTCGCATGGAGATTCTTCTAGCACAGACCAGATTTCAAAAATTTACCTTTTCCAAAATCGAAGTAATAGAAGTGCACAAATGAGTTTGAAATGAGACCGGTGAGTTTCGTGCCAATCGACCAAAAAGCAGGTGTTTGATAATTTTTCAAACTCCACGTAGATACCCTTGAAGCGTAGTACGGATTTCAAAAATTTACTGATTCCAAATTTTTCCAGCGTGACGAAAGGTGTTCTGAATGTCATTAGTGAGTTTGGTTTCAATCGGCAAAGGCAAAAGGCTCTCAGAATTTTTCAAGCCCTACGGAGGATTTTTGCAGCGCAGTCTGGAAACATTTAAATTAAAAAATCGCTAAAAGACCAAAAAAACCAGAAGAAACTCAGCAAAACCAGTAGAAAAGCGGTAACTAATGCGAATAAATGATGTGTAAGCGACCAAACTCCCCACTTGCATGCAGATAAATAAGCTACGAGAAAAGCCCATAGGATGAAAAAAATTTAAACAACTATAAAAAACAGAGTGGACAACAGAGTGGACAGTCAAAAGTGAAAATCGACGGTTATTCTTAAATATTTGGAAAGACTGAACACGGGAAATTGCGGAAACTTAAGAAAGTGGCGCGAAATTTTCTTTCAAGCTGGTGAGTTTTGGGGCTTTTAGGTCGTTGAAGCAAATAATTTACGCCAGACGTTTCACAATCACGAGTGGCTTACATCTTGATAGGTGGTTGGCTCAATACAACAACCATCGATAAAGATTCATAAACGCGTGCTTTAAATTAAGAAAAATAAGGAGGATATTCTATTCAAAGACGTCCTAAGAGTCCGAAAAACTCAGTAATCGACCGGAAACTTCGGCACGCACTAGACATCTTTTGAAAAACCCCCTAATTCCGACACTCTGAATAAAAGTTTTCAAGTTATATTTTCTGAATAAACCAGCTGCAACATGGTTATTTAATTCGTTCACATTGGGCCCTGCCAGCCCTGGGCTCGAAATCGTCCGTTACCCTGACAACCGATAACACTGCCGTATAGTTGCTCCTGGATTTTATAATGCATCATCCGAAGCCACAGGCCCGGCTTCAGAGTGTTTTCTCTATTTTAATTTTGAGAGAAAACAAGTTACTTTTTAATAAAAAAAACTTTCCAGAACTTCGTTTACTGTTTAGGGCGCCTTTAACCAGACCAAAGGTGGGTACACCCTGTATATGAGCTTTGGGTCTGTCGGTCCAGGCTATCCAGACAACGTAGGTCGTCTGGCCTTGACCATAGAACGCAAATTACCTGCGTAGTAATGCGAGTAGTGGAATCCGAAAATATCTGGCGCATTTTCCAGCTGTATTACGTTTCCAGCCTGATTGCCAGCAAGAAATTTCGGTCCAGGTCACAAACATTTCCTTATGAGCCGCAAACTGCATGGGCATGCAACCGATTGCTTTCAATTAGGCAACCGTTTTCCTCTTGCTCAATGCTCAATCAACTGAAAGAGTGGAAATCCGCGTCTATCGCGCTTTAGATTAGTGACGAATATTTTTAAAAGCGCGTTATTTTTAGTGTTGGTAATAATAACTAAATACCCACATTTTGAGGTCGTGCCACAAAACTGCAAAATTTATTGCGCTACGAGGTGCGATCGAAACACTCCATTGGAAAATGGGCCAAACCTTCACAGCCTCCAAGCGAAACGAGATGGCCAGGCCCAAATGAGCGCCAGAGGAAAATCTCCACTGAAAGACACTATGAGTCTGGGGGTCTTTTGAGCGGACCTCGTACAGTGTCAAGACTGCATCCGAACACCTTCGTAGGTGTGATTTGTTAGCGGGGACCTCCATTCTAGGCTGTGTTTTGTGATCGCGCCATGTAGTTACATAAAAAGTCGAAACTCACCTCCAGTTAGTGGCAGGACTTTGCCATGTGAATGGATAGTCGCGTTGCTTGAATGTCGTTTAGGGAAAAACGCAGAAATTTGACTTTTTTTAGTGAATGTGAACGCCGTTTCTAGTTGCCAACACGTTTCGTGGTGAGTTCAGTTTTGCAGTGATTTTTTTAAAAATTTGCCATCGCTTTTCGCATCGTCTGCGTTTAGTCCTTCTCACATCAGTGGCTCTTGTAGATTTTATTCAATCGCCTCAACTTCTCCAGACAAATTGGAATTAAATTCGCCAATGTGATATTCTTAGCACAAAAAAAACATTTTGTTTCAAAGTCCAAAAGTTCAAGCACCTATTTAATTGCATAACGGTGCATTGGAGCGAAAGGAAAACACTGCCAACTACCTATCCTTGTCTCAAAGTGACAGCTTGAGCTGGCGCCACTTGGCTGGAGGCCTACTATGGGCCGTTTTAAGCAATTAAACGTCAACGTAAAGTTATTAGTCGGTCAAGGCTCAGTAAATAAAAGTTTGGTTTGTTTAGTTCAATGCCATTTCAATGAGTGGCAGACCAAACATCAAAGTGGCCGATTAGCCACTTAAAGATAAAAAATCACTCTCAAGTTCACAGCGAAAATAATCAATCAAACTACTTCAAGCAGAATGCTCTAATTGAACGTGCGATTTTCAGTGGTTCTACATTATGAGCGTAACCGCGCAGCAGAAGAATAATCTATCAATACCCAGTTTAGACAACTTCAATTCCAAGTGAGTGACAATTCGAGTGGCCCACTTTTGCGCACTCACTCCGTATTGTTTCAGGACAAAACTAGTGATGAATGACAATAATTTTAAAATTGACATTGACCCGGCCGGGGAGAAAATTTACAAACCGCATGAGCATCGAGTACTCAGCCATCCCAATAAGTAAGTATTTGTGACATTTGCGATCTACTAAAGAATATGTCACCTATTTTCATGCAACTTTTGAGTTTTTTGATACGAAAAGTATGTAAGTATGATTTGCTCATAATGCTATTAAAACCAAGTCGCAATCTGAGTGCGATTTTTAAATGTTTCCCTCATCAGCAATGGGCCGAACCGACCCTGGCGAAAAATACATCCATTACTATGACAACCAATAACGCTTCCCTACAGTTGCGCTACATATGTCATAATGAAATCGTAAATATGCAGAGGCGGTTCCAGAGCGATTTTGCTGTTTTAGTGTTTTGGCGACTAAAGAAATATTTCAGTTCATTCCTACAACGATCTTTCGCAGGATCACTTTTTTCATAAAAAGTTAAAATAATTTAGAATTTTGTAACCGATCATTAGGATAGTTTTCAATTTGAGCTTGGAGTACCGAATTTGTTTATTATTTGTTTAAAGTCGGTTTTTTTGAACCGACATTTAATTTGAACATGAATTTATTCATTTGAAAACATCACAATTTCCAAATATTTTCCATGTAATTGCAGATAAATCAGTTTTGGTAAACTTTTTGGGATTTTGAGCAACTTTTAGAATAAAATAAGGACTACGTCGATCGGTTATTCTCCAAAAATTACCCGTTTGCCTTGTCAATGTATTCGCAAAAAAATGTTCTCCGACCCTTTAACATGGTACTCATTTTCAGTTGAAATTGCCTAGAAAGAACGAAAATATCAAATAAACTGCCGTGAATTAAACAAATTTTGGGCTTGCAAGTAAATTTATAGCCACTAATCGATAAATACCGCAAAAGTTCCAAATGTTTCGCTTGCAATTGTAGAGAAATCAGGTTTGGTCGATTTTTCGGGATTCTGAGCAAATTTTAGCATACAATGAGGGCCAGGGGTCATTCTTCAAAAGTTACGCATTTCGCTTGTCGAGGTTTTCGCAAGCAAAGGTTCTCCGACTTTTTAACATGGTACTCACTTTCAGCTGAAATTGTCTAGAAAGAACAAAACTATCAACTAAACTGCAGGGAATTAAACAAATTTGAGCTTGCAAGTAAATTTATTGTCACTAATCGATAAAAACCGCAAAAATTCCAAATGTTTCTCTTGCAATTACAGATAAATCAGTTTTGGTCGATGTTTCGAGATTTTGAGTCAATTTTAGCATAAAATGAGTACCATGTCGACATTGGGACATTCTCGAAAAATTATGCATTTCACTTGTCAACGTTTCGGCAAAAAAATGTGCTCCGACGCTTTAACATCGTATCATTTTCAAATGAACTTGTTTGGAAAGAACGAAAATAACAAATGAAATGCTGTAAATTAAACAAATTTGGCCTTGTAAGTAAATTTATAGCCACTAATCGATGAAAACTGCAAAAAATCCAAATAATTCGCTTGTAATTGCAGATAAATCAGTTTTGTTGACATTTTCGGGATTTTGACCGATTTTAGCATAAAATGAGTGCCATTTGATGGGTCATTCTCCAGAAATTATCCATTGGGCTTGCCAATGTCTCCACAAAAAATGTTCTCCGACCCTTTGACATGGTTCTTTGAGATTTTCAGATGAAATTGTCTGGGAAGCTCGAAAAAAACATCTGAACTGCCGTGAATTAATAAAATTTGGGATTGCAAGTACATTTATGGCCACTAATCGACAGAAGCCGCAAAATTCCAAATATTTCGCATGTAATTGCAGATAAAGCAGTTTTGGTGGACTTTTCGTAAATTTGAGAAAATGCGAAATGGCGATGGGTCACTCTCCAAAAATTACCCATTTGACTTGTCAATGCATTCGCAAAAAAAATTTCTTCTATCCTTTAACATGGTACTCATTTTCAGCTGAAATTGTCGGGAAAGAACGAAAATATCAACTAAACTGCCGTGAATCAAACAAATTTGGGCTTGCAGGTACATTTATAGCTCATCGATGAAAACAGCACAAATTCCAAATATTTCGCTTGCAATTTCAGACAAATCAGTTTTCGTGGACGTTTCGAGATTTTGAGCAAATTTTACCATAAAATAGGTACCATGTCGATAAGCCCTTCTCCAAAAATTACGCATTTTGTATGTCAATGTTTCCGCAAAACAGTGTTCTCCGACCCTTTAACATGATACTCATTTTCAGCTGAAATTGCCTGGAAAGAACGAAAATATCAAATAAACTGCAGTGAATTAAACAACTTTGGGATCGCAAGTAAATTTATGGCCACTAATCGATAAAAACGGTAACAGTTTCAAATATTTTGCTTGCAGATAAATCAGTTTTGGTGGACATTTCGGGATTTTGAGGAAATTTTAGCATAAAATGAGTACCATGTCGATGAGTCATTCTCAAAAAATTACCTATTTGACTTGTCAATGTTTTCGCAAATAACTCTCCCCCGGCCTTTTAACATGGTACTCATTTTCAGCGAAAATTGTCTGGAAAGCACGAAAAAGATATCGGAATTGTCGTGAATTAAACACATTTCAGATTGCAAACACATTTATAGCCACTCATCGATGAAAACGGCACAATTTCCAAATATTTTCCTTGTAATCGCAGATAAATCAGTTTTGGTGGACTTTCCAGAATTTTGAGCACATTTCAGCATAAAATGAGTACCACGTTGATGGGTCTTCTCCAAAAATTAGTCATTACTCAATTAGTCAATGTTTTCGCAAACAAATATTCTCCGACCCTTTAACATGGTACATTTTCAGTTGAAACTATCGGGAAATCGCATTAATCCGTAAAAACCGCAAAATTTCCAAATATTTCGCTTGTAAATAAGGCAGATAAATCATACGTTGGTGGTATTTTCTAGATTTAAAGCAAATTTCAGCATACATTAAGTTATGTACAGGAAACAACGATACTTTTCTCTAACCACACCCGAAGCGCTGATCCTAACAGTTGAAACATATTGCATATTCATAGACACGGTTTTACAAAATATGAAGAAAACCAAAGTTTCGATAAGAAATTGGTAAAGTTTTTGGGCTTTTTGGCTGCCATAGTAAGGAATTTCTTCCAATTCTGCCGTTTCGCATACCTGAGTGACTTGAGTCTTCAGACGTGAACACTGCGACCAGTGAAGCACCTCTCAGTATCCAAGCCATTGCAAGAGCATTTAATTGTGAAATATCAACATCCAAAGAGTATTTTTCTAATAAAAACTCAGTTTTTTAGGAGCCTTTCTACATCTGGTCAAGTCGTCTTTGGGGACTGGCATTTTAGCGGTACCTCGCGCCTTTAAAAGCGCCGGCCTCCTAGTGGGGCTATTCGGCAACATTCTGATTGGAATATTATGCACTCACACTGTATATATCCTGGTAAGTGGGACAGTCATTAAGCGGCACAGCCTCGTTCTTATCCACGTTCCGATTTTCAGGTCGAAACATCAGAAAAAGTATGCGCCAAAGGAAAAATTCCTAGTTTAGGATATGCGGACACAGCTGAAGAAGTCTTCAAACAAGGACCAAAAGCTGTGCGAAAATGGTCTGGCTGTGTCAGGTAACTTTTGAAAATACTTCTTTTGTCCACATCCAAAAAAACATCGTTTACAATCCTTTTTTAAAGTAATATACAGTATTGCATATAATTATTAAAATTCAGGTGTTTATTACTCGAAAACGTTATGAGATCAACGCCAACTTTTTAAGACAGAAAAAAATGTTTTGCAATTTTGTCCGGTTCTTGACAAAATGTTAACTATTTTTCATGTAACATTACATTTTCGGTTTTCGGCAAATTGGCGCCTGAAATTCGTAAGCAAAATTAACACTCAAATTTATAGCCTAATTAAAATTAGGACTAAAAGAGTTAATTACGTGCTCAAATTGCCATTTTAAATTTATTTAAAACGTGTGTATTTGTGTTTCCATCAATATTCCTCATTTTCTGCCTAATTTTTCATTAAGTCTTGGATATTTTGCTACCGATTTACATAAACGTTAATTTTTAATAACCCCCATACGAAGGAGTCCAAGGGCGTGAGATCAGGTGATCTGGGAGGCACTCATTGGCTTGTTGGGGTCAATTTTCCGACATCCGTTAAAGATAAGTACGCGGGATGCCACATAAAAAATTATTATTATTTTTTTTGAGAACTGAATAAAAATACAAAACAGTGAAGTTTCTGTTTAAAAAAACTAGCCTTGATTTTCGACTTTTTTTGGTTACCCTGTATAAAAAAAATAAATGTTTCTGAAAGTGCGTCTTTAAAAACGAAAATCGATGGTCCAAGCATTTTTTGTGTGATTTTTTAGATTAAAAAAATATGAAATTTCAAGATTTAAGCAGGCTCTTGGAATAGCTAGAATAAAATAACTGATAAATTCAAGTCATCTTCGTTCTGGAATTAGCATTTATTGAGGAATGGGCACATTTGTGGTCAAGCCTTAACTGCTACTTAAATTCACAATAGCGGACAAAATATTTAGGCAGTTCGCTACCGGTCTAGGACATTCCGCTCGAAGGACCAAAATGTTAGTTCTTCGGTTTAAGTGGACTCTATATCTCTGTAATTAATTTATTGGCGTTAATATTTTTACAATTTCTGCTCAGCGTGCGGTAGTGCGCTTCTTTTTGGTCTCAATCCAAAAGTTCTAAATCTAAATTACTCAAATTGTCTCAGCTACTTTTACTTAATCAGAGCGGGCAATGGTTTGGCCATGTTGCCTGTGAGTCCCAGAAGTGAAGTCCAAATTCATTTAAAATTCAGCAATTTTGTGAAAAAATGCTTGAATCCGTCAATTTTTATTTTTAAATGCATTTTTTATGGTAGGTTTATTTACACAGGGTGATCTAAAAAAATTACCACTCTCAACTTCATTTTTTTGCATTTCAGCAGCTATTTCTTATACAGGGTGATTCATAATTGGCGTCATTCCTCTGGCGGTGTTGTCTGGCGCTGTAATAGGAGTACAAAAAAAATAGTAAAATAAATTATGTTATTAAAAACTGAGAAATTTGGCAAAAAACTATATCAGAAATACGGCAGCAATGTTTTTCAAGGTAATCTGCCTAATTAGCATTGCGCAAATACCTGTTGCTTYGTAATTATTTAAAACTCCGGTAACCATGGCATTATACAGAGTGACAATAAGATAGACAAGGATAAACGGTAAATTCAACATGTGCCGTTGAATGACGGAACCCATTTCGAAATGTCAACCTGTTCTCATAACCTCGAATATTGATGTTTAAAAATAAACCATACAACACCAAACATTTGAATGGTTAACTCCAGACAAGCTAGTGCATGTGTAATCTCCTTATTATCCACTCTTATTTAGCAGCTTCTCGTATTCAGTTAATTGACTCCTGCTCCATTTGTATCTCCTTGTGCTGTGTGTATCGTACAAACGTGGTAGGAATGTAGTCCTTCCTCGGTATTTATTCGGTGCTTGGGAAAGTGTCAGTTATTGTGCTTTGAGTGCCCCTGGAAGGCACCGATTCGATTATGTCCAATACTTGTTCCTCTGTGTCTGGAACCCGAACATCTATTGCCGTCCATTATCTTCCTGGAACCACTCTCGTCGCTCTTTGTTGCGGGAGTTCTTTCAGCGTCTATGTTACTGTAGCATGTCCCCTGAACTAATCGCATATCAGCCAATTCGTGAAAGGAAATTTAAGGTAAGTCACAGTTTGACAAATTATTGTTATTATTGACAAAGGCTCTACCTGTAACTATCTGTTAATGGCAAAAAACATCATTGCCGCTTTGACTTTCCATCCAAAAATTGTAGAAGAGAACTTTTTTAATATCGCAAATTTTCGTAATTTGAAACAAAGAACGTAATTTTTCTTTTGGAATGCGTAAGTATTCCAATATGCTTCCAATTAAACATGGAACAATTTCAAGATAATGTTTAATAACAAAGTTGAAATTCAATCTTCAACTGTTAATATCTTCTAGAAATTTTCGAAAAAAAATTTCAATGTTTTTCTCGTACTCCCCAAGGGAGCCTCTATCACCCCTTAAAAGGAATGACGCCAATTTTGAATCACCCTGTTTAAATTTTGAAATTTTTACTGAAATTTTAGTATAAGTGAGGTACACCAGAATGCGAGTAATTTACGAGGCTTTTAAATAATAAAAAATAATCCAAACAACAAAAAGCCTTAAAAATAAATCGTATAATTTTATTGTTTAATTCAAAAGTCAGCTTAAAAATTGCTGACCAATTTTTAGATCATCCTGGAAAAATAAAATTTGTAATTCAGCGCGCTGAGTTTTAAATGAATTTACTTCTGGGAGTCACTATATACATTTACACTAAATTAGAGAAATTAAATACTAATTAACTTACATACTTAATTACACTAATTATACGGACATATACACTTCATTACATAAACTTGTCTGTTTGAAAATAGATACTGTATATGTCTGTGTTTCTGTTAGGCATGGGTACACTCAGTAAAATTTCAAGAGTTGGCGCAGTGCTGGCGGAATGACTTGATGCGCCAACTCAACGCACTGGGGTCCAAAAAGTGACTCATAAAAAATGTAGTAACATTTTTTAGGTTAAAAAATTAAATATTGCCAAATTGGAACCGTACAAAATGGTGATCTTTTCTAGGCGTTGAATATTGAAATATTGCCTTTTTTACCTCATTAAATTCTACCATCCTGCTGGGCCTGGTAAAGCCTTAATCCGGCCTTGGGTTAAATGCTATAAGTTATAACACATTAGCTATTGAGTTGTAACTTATTAACTCACAGGGCAATATCAACTCAATACCGCAACGCAACACAGTGTTACCCATGCCTAGTCTGTGTCGTAACACTGATTGTATTGGAACTGTACAAATTGTTTCAACAGAACTTTTGTGGAAATCGCGCTGGTCTCCACCTACTACCTCGGAGTGGCCGTCTACATGGTATTCATCTCCCTCTCCTTGACCAAAGTGAGTGCCGGCACACCAAGGCACCTCTAAGACTGTAACACTGACTCTTTGCCGCTATTTCAGCTCTTTTCATTCTATTATCCAGAGGCGGCGTCCTGGGACAGGTACCAGCTCAAGCTGGTCATCATGGTCCTGCTGATGGTTCTGTGCCAGATCAGAGAGATCAAGCACATGGTTCCCTACTCTTTCATAGCCAACGTGATGCTGGCTGTGGCCTTTGGAATAACTGGTTATTACATATTTTCCGGCCTGGGAGAGGTGGAAGTCCATATGTCCAATGGATTTTCAGGTAATGGGCTCAGGAGGCTGCAGAAGCCAGTGTGCCAGTTTCCAGATCTTTGCAGGAATACCTTCGTTCTTCAGCACAGTGCTTTTTGCCATGGAGGGCATCGGCACCATAATGCCCGTGGAAAACTCCATGCCAGAACCGCAGTTTCTAGGAACCTGTGGGGTTCTCAACTCCGCCATGGTGGTCATTGTGTTCTTCTTCACGTCGATCGGATTCCTCGGCTACTTTCGCTATGGGGAACTGACTGAAGTCACCATTATGAAGAACTTGCCGGATGACAAAATGTAATTTTTGGTAGTTTCTGCTAATTTTTCTACAACTAATGGGGCTTATTGCAGTGCAGCACAGATCGCTCAGGGCGCCATCGGAATCTCAGTATTTTTCTCGTTCATGTTGCAATTCTACATTCCGACCGACATCATGTGGAAGCGGCTCAGATCAAAAATTCCCGAGCAAAAACACAACGTGTCTCAGATCTGGCTCAGAATCATCATGGTTGCCGTTGTTACAGGTCGGTGCTGAGCAGCGGAAGGTTTTGATGTTTTGTGAGTCTTTTGGGTAGAGTTTGAGGGTCTTGTTGATGTGTAAACGTGCATTTGCTAGAATAGGACGAATATTTTTCTTATTTTAAATGAGATAACGCACATACAGGGTGTCCCAACGATGGAGCAAAGTAAGTTGACGCTCCACCGGTATTATTCGTAATGCAAAATGTAATTTCGTCACCATTTATGGGAACATCAAATCCATATACATATATTAGAGCATCTGTCCCTATACAGGGTGTTCCATCGGAACCGCCGCGATCGATATATGGCAAACTGTAATTGAAAGAGATTTGGAAATAGGACAGTGTGCAGAGGTCATTGGGGGCACGCCGCTTAAAATATTTTCAAGATGGCCACACTTCCGGTTATACCGGAAGTGCGTATCAACTTGCTTATTTTAAATGGAACACCCTATATGTTATTACCTTTTTGTATTCTACTTCAAATTCTTAATGTATTTCATGTATCATATCGTATGCCTAAGTCTAGCCGTTTTAAATATTTCAAATTTTATGTAAAAAATGACAGTTGCGGCCACTCGAATAATTATTCATTTTTCCTATAAGGAAATTAGTCATACTGAATTTGAGTCGCATTTATTATTGAAAAGGACTTACTTTAATGGAGCTTCGAAAGCATTTTGAAAACTATTACTGCAAAGTGTTAAAAAGAAAAGTTTCAAAATATAGTTGAGAAAACGGCTCAAAGTCAATTTTTTCAAATGGAAACCACCATTTTTGATAATTTTGTCATATTCAGTATTAAAAATAAGTATAAGTTTGTGTAACGATGTCTATTCCAAAAGTGTTTAGTTTTCGAAATATTGAAAATTAAATTTTTTCTTAGGGCTATTTTGCAGCACCTTCTTTTAGATTCTGTCACTCTTAGTTGCCATGACCAAAGTGGCCATTTTTAATGCAATCAAATGCCAAAGGAATGCTGATACATGTCAGTTACCTTTTGAGCATAATTAATAATCATTCCAGGGCGCTTCAATTATACAAACGAATATTATTTAAACTTATTTATTATTTATGGAGAGTGTGATAAAGTTATATGGAGAATCGTTTACGTATCATTAATTATTATTATATCAATCACTGGAATTAAGACGTATTCAAAATTCTAGCCAAAACCAAAGCATGAAGGCTTCTGTTTTTGTGGATATCGAACGGCATATGTGTCACATGTTTTTGATACAGCTTTATCACATTCTTCACATATCACATAAATAATAAATAAGTTTAAATAATCTTTGTTTGTATAATTGAAGCGCCCTGGCATGATTATAAATTATGCTCAAAAGGTAACTGACAGGTGTCAGCATTCCTTTAGCATTTGATTGCATTAAAAATGGCCACTTTCGTCATGGCAACTAAGAGTGACGGGATTTAGAATAAGGTGCTGCAAAATAGCCATATGAAAACATTAAATTGGCAATATTTAGAAACATAAACACTTTTGGAATAGACATCGGTACACAAACTTACACTTATTTTTAATACTGAATATGACAAAATTATAAAAAATGGGGGTTTCCATTTGAAAAAAATTTGTTTGGGCAGTTTTCTCAACTGGATTTTTAACCTTCTTTTTTTAACACTTTGTATCAATAGTAGTTTACAAAGTGTTTTCGAAAATCCATTAAAGTAAGTCCTTTTCAGTGAGAAATGCGACTCAAAGTATGTAGCACATATTCGCTTATAGGAAAAATTAATAATTATTCGAGTGGCTGCAACTGTTATTTTTCATATAAAATTCCAAATATATCAAAAACGGTTAGACGTGGCTACAGGATATTATATATGAAATATATTTAGAATTTGGAGCAGAATTAAAAAATGTAATAATATACAGGGTTGCTCATTAGTGCGTCAAAGTGCGATATCTCAGTAAATATGAAGTTTACAAGAAAATTCGTCCAACGAAAGTTTTTCACG